ACAGAGACTGCTGTCATTACTGAGAGGGAGATGTGAACAGCTTGTGTGTCCCACACCTGCCTGCCTCTGCCAATCTTGTCGAGAGGGGCCTGCCCCTCCTGCGGCAGATTCACAGTGCATCCGTGCGTCCCCTGCCTGAACATTCCTCTAAAGCAAGAGAGCACCCCACCCCTCACTATGACAGCCAGCGCCTGAACCCAGGGATGTTTGGAGGCAAGTTTGCCGGCTGAGTCTCAGTCTGGTCACCCCAGGACTCCAGCACGTCATCCTGGGGCCTGGGAACTGGGGATTACCTGACCTAGTCCACCACCAGTGATACCTGAATACTCTCCAGGGGTCTGAGGTCCAACCGACCCAAATTACCAGCAACAACACAGTAGCTACTTACATACAACCATCAGCAGAGTTCCTGGCAGAGGAGAACAGATGAACCACAAAGCTACCTGTTTTGAGCTAAGGGAAGAGGTTCCAGACAAGAAGGAACTGAGCATAAAAACTCTGGCAACATGATACCCCACTAGCTCTCCAGCACTGGGCTCCAACCAAAAGGACAGTTTTGAAATATTGGACATGGAATTCAAAATACGGATCACAAGTAAGCTCGACCGGGTTGACGAGAAAGTTGAAAACCAATACAAAGAAGCCAAGAAGATAATTCAGGACATGAATGAAGAATTCACTAAAAAGATACTTTAAAAAAAATAACAGAACTTCTAGAAATGAAGTTCTGAATGAAGTCATTTAAGGAATTTCAAAATCCAGTGGAAAATTTTAACAACAGGGTAGGCCAAGCAGAAAAAAGAATTTCAGAGCTTGAAGACAAGGCTTTTGAATTAACCCAGTGAGTCAAAAATAAAGAAAAAAACTCAAGAAAAATGAATATGCCTCTGAGAAATACAAGATTATGTAAAACACTGAAACATAAAAATCAGAAATATCCCTAAGGGAGAAGAAAAAAGAGCAAAAAGCATGGAAAACCTATTCTAGGGAATAATGGAGGAAAAGTTTCCTAGTCTTGCTAGAGATTTAGACATCCAGATACAAAAAGGTTATCCAAGTCCTAGAAGAGTTAGCCAATCCTTTGAAGCTTTGAAGCCAGGCACTGACTTCTCTATAGCTTATGAAAGTCTTAAATGGCATCTTCTTCTGACTGAAGGCTGTTACCTACACTGAAAATCTGTTGTTTAAACTGGGTATAGTGGCTCATGCCTATAATCCCAGCTACCTAGGAGGCTGAGGTGGCAGGATCGCTGGAGGCCAGAAGTTTGAGACCGGCCTGAGCAACATAGCAAGATAACCATCTCTTAAAAAAAAAAAGAAAAGAAAAAAGTTAGTTGGATGTGGTGGCTCATACCTGTAGTCCCCGTTACTCAGGAAGCCGAGGCAGGAGGATTGCTTAAGCCCAAGAGTTTGAGGCTACGGTGAGCTATGTATGATCATGCCACTGCACTCCAGCCTGGGTGACAGAGCAAGACAGGAAAAAGGGAAAAAAAAAAAGGAAGTAGAAGGAAAGAAAGGATATCTGTTGTTTAGCGTAGCCACCTTCATCAATGATCTCAGCTATAGATTCTGGATAACTCGCTGCAGCTTCTCCATCAGCACTTGCTGCTTCACCTTGAACTTATGCTATGGAGATGGCTTCTTTCCTTAAGCCTCATGAACCAACCTCTGTTAGCTTCCAACTTTTCTTCTGCAGCTTCCTCATCCCTTTCAGCCTTCACAGAATTAAAGAGAGTTAGAGCCTTGCCCAGGATTAGGTTTTAGCTTAAGGGAATATCGTGGCTGGTTTGAGCTTCTACCCAGGTCACTCAAACTTTCTCCATAGCAGCAATAAGTCTGTTTTGCTTTCTTATCATTTGTGTGTCTTGAATTTCCTTCAAGAACTTTTCCTTTGCCTTCCCAGCTTGGCTAACTGGCACAAGAGGTCTAGCTTTTGGTCTATCTCAGCTTTCAAATGCCTTCCTCACTAAATTTACTCATTGCTAGCTTTTGATTTAAAGTGAGAGACATGTGACTCTTCCTTTCCCTTGAACAGTTTGAGGCCACTGGAGGGTTATTAATTGGCCCAATATCAATATTTTTGTGTTTTGGGGAATAGGAAGGTCCATGGAGAAAGAGAGAGAGATGAAGAAACCATGGGTTAATGAAGCAATCAAAGCACACACAAGGTTCATTGATTAAGTTTACCATCTTGTATGGGCATGGTTCATGGTGCCCCAAAATAATTACAATAGTAACGTCAAAGATCCCTGATCATAAATCACCATACAGATATAATAATAATGGAAAAGTGTAAAATATTGTGAGAATTACCAAAATGTAACACGAAGACACATAGTGAGAACATGCTGTTGGAAAAACAGTGCCAACAGACTTGATCTCAAACTTCACCCAGTAGGTTTATTTTTAATGATAATATTAGAATATTTGAATTTGAGACTACATGATATATGATTGTTGCAAGAAGAAGCAAATTAGCAAATGTGTTAATATTCTATGGAAACAAGTTTTTTTTATGTGAAAGAAATGCAAATTTAAAGGAAGTTAAGGAAAGCCAAACCTGTGATGTTAAATTAGAACTGATACAAAACATCAAAAATGAAACTATGCAATAAAAATATAGCTCTGACCACTGAAAGGGCCTCCCTGTGAGAACACAGGCAGCTGCCTAATCTGCATGTCACAAAGGCCTGCTCTGGTTTTCTGCTTTTGAGAGTCTTAATCATTTTTTAGAATTTTCCATTCTAATAAATCATTAAAAGCCTTAAATATAGTGGGCATCTTGCTTGTTGTTCCTATATTCCGTTACAGTATTCCATGAGATATGGTACGGAGACAACTCAATTCAAATTGTTAATTGATTTATTTTTTCCAGAAGCTCAAAGATTATTCTGGAGTAACACTTATAGGACTTCAAACAGTGCTGTAGCCACAGGGCTCACTTTGGGTGAAAGGTAAATATGTAAATTAGAGAAGTTTTACCTTCTCAATACACCCAGGCAACTTACTCCCTCCTACCACACTCGGGGCTGGGTGGGAGGAGAGCAGCCATCTTCTCTTTCCTAATCTACCAACCTACCAGCCATCTTCTCTTTCCTAATCTACCAACCTACCAGCCATCTTCTCTTTCCTAATCTACCTTGTGCCCATGTGCACAGGACTTTTCAGTCTCCCCCATCTCCCTCTATCAGGATGATTCCGTGGCCCTATCGAAGACCAAACCTTCAACTCATGCCCTGGACTCCAGCAGTATTGCCTTCAACAGGGCTAGGCTGCCTCTCTTTTCTGCAGCATCAAACTTTTGCTCTCTACTGGATCATTCTCAGCAGCATGAAAACATCTTGTACTGGTCCCCACCTTGAAACACAGCACAACAGTAACAAAGACCCTTCTTTGTCCACACATCTTTCTCCAGCGACCCCCCCCCTCATTTCTCTGATTACCTGCTCCACAAAATCCATCAAAATCATTGTTAAAGGACACCATTTCAACCTTCTCACCTCCATTATGTCTTCAACACAGCCAGCTGGGCTTTGGTCCTCCCACCCCATGAGCCCTGCTCTGTGTCGGCCTCCCTATTGCCAAATGCAGCCATCGTGTCTTTGTTCTCATCTCTCCCAGCCTCTGGGCACTGATCATTCTCTCCTTGAAACACTTTCTTCCACAGAGTTCTGGTTTTCCTCCCTTCTCACAGATCTCTCTTAGTCCTCTCCCCTTCTTGTCTGTGGTCACCTACTTGAGGGCCCTAGGCTTAATTCTCAGACTTTAATTTCCACTATCCCTGGATGATCCCATTCAGTCTTATTTCAAATATCTTCTCCATGGAGATAAAGGCCAAATTCACATCTTTAGCTCCAGTCTTTCCAGGGCTTTAGAGGCATTTATCCAGCTGCCCATGTAATGTCTCTACCAGGATGGCCCTACCTTTGTGAGCTTGTGTTGTTTAAGTTTATCCATGAAATGGAGATGATATAGTACAACTTCACTGTTATTTGTGAGAATAAAGTGTACTCAAAACACTTAGAACAGTGCTGGCACAAAGTAATTGCTCAGTAAATATACTGTGTGTTTACTTGTTTAATTCCCTACTAGAAGTCATGAGAGAAGGAAACGTGTGTGTCTAATTCAACAATGAATTCCCGAGGCCTACAACAGGGCCTGGCATATGGTAGGAGCTCTATGTTGATTGAATAAATGAATCAATTCCTTTAAAGGAGGAAAAGGAAGTACCCACAGAAACCAGCTCAGTTGCCCAGGTTGCCTTCACTTGAGGAGTCGTCAGTGGCTTTTTTCTAACTTCCCACCATTGCCTTTGGAATCTCTCTTCTTATCGACCAAGCCCTAGGAACGCAGCTGTGGCATTCCTGCCTCTTCTATCTGTTCTGTGGGGCGTACTGGTTTATTTTCTTTGAGGATGTAACATATAGGGTTTTTTTGGAACTTATTGATAATGCTTTTTCATTTAGACTTGGTTTCACCAGCACTTAGTAGAAACCTAGAAAGCAGTTTTATCACGTAAAAAATTATATATTGGGTATGAGAGGAATAAAATTTTAGGAAGACAATGTAAGACAATGAGTTTTCTTGGCAGATATGGGACTAGGCATGTAGAGTGGACAGCTGCCTGCAAAAATGTACGCACCCGGCCCCGCCCGCAATCGTGCCCTCCGCACCCGGCCCGCCCGCCGCATCGCGCCCATCCGCACGGCCGCCCCGCATCGCGCCCTCCCGCCCGGCGCATCGCGCCCCTCCGCACCCGGCCCGCCCGCATTCGCGCCCTCCGCACCCGGCCCCAGCCCCATCGCGCCCCCTCCCGCACCCGGCCCCGCCCGCATCGCGCCCCTCCGCACCCGGCCCGCGCATCGCGCCCTCCGCATCGGGCTGCCCCGCTGCGCCCTCACGCCCCGCCCCGCCTGCGGCGGCCCCGCCCGGTCCGCGCGCCTCAGGGAGCGGTCCGCAGAGGCGGAGCGCGGCGGGCGGGCCCAGGCCGGGTGGCCGCGGGCTGGCGCGGCGCGGCGAGGGAACATGGCTGCCCTGACGACCGTCGTGGTGGCGGCGGCGGCCACCGCGGTAGCCGGGGCTGTGGCGGGGGCGGGCGCGGCCACCGGGACAGGCGTGGGAGCGACGCCAGCGTCGCAACAGGTAAGTCGAGGGGGCCGAGGGCCGCCCGCTCCGGCGGTGGGCGTGGGGCCGCGGGGGTGCAGGCCTCGGGCGGGACGGGCCCGGCCGGCGGAACAGGTGTTCCCCGCAGCGCCGCCCGGGGGCGGGAGGCGCGGCGTTGCCGCCCCGTGCTCGCGGCCTGGCGCGCGCCGGGCGTTGCTCTTTGTTGGCGTGCGCGTGTAACAGCTTTTGCAGAACCACCTCCATGTGGTTTTGGAGTCGAGGGAGACCTGCGTGGAAATCCTGGCTCTGCCTGCTCCTAGCCGTGTGACAGGAATGTGTCCTCTCCGCGACTCCATTTCTTCCCTAAAAATTGGGACTGCTCACAGCCACCTTCCCGAGCCGCGGACGCGTCCGGGGCGCCCCCGCAGGGCTCGGTTGGAGAGAGGACTCGGTGCTCTGTAGTCGCTGGCAGCTCCGTTATTGTGCCGGCACTGGGGACACAGGAGCAGTGAAATATGTGAGGGTTGGAGGCAGAGGTGTTTCGAAAGATCGGCTTAGGACCTCTTTCTCCGCGGTGAGGACCAGATACCTTTGTGCACATGCCTTCAGCTCAGTGAGACTTTCTGTCGTCTCCCTAAATGGAGTCCGGTTACCCGGCACACCTAGTCCCCTTTTCTGATTTTTATTTTTCCCCTTAGCGCTTATTACCATGTGATACATATTTTATTTCTGTTTTTTTAATTGCCTTTCTCCTCACACCCTCCACCCCATGACAACATAAGCTTCATGAGGGCAGAAATTTGGGTAAGTTTTATTCAGTATTGTGTTCCTAGCAGCAAGAACTGTGCCTGTTGTGTAATGCCTACAACATAGTAGCATTCTCTGAATATTTGTGGATCAAACCTGAAGGGAAGGCTGGTGTGAGCTGGGCACAGGCTCTTTTTCCTCCTCTAAGGGATCATAGTGTCTTGTACACAGTTCAGGAAATTCCAGCTCAGGCAGATTTTTCTCTTACATCCTCTTGTAATTCTTTTTATTATTCTAACTCTGGCCAAGTAGCTCAGGAAAAAATATAAAATATATAAAAATACGTAATATATAACATATTTTTTAAGTACTGTACTTAAAAAATGTGTGACCTCAGTTGTTTAGCCACCTTGCTGGCTTTCTCCATGACACCTTACTGGCTTACTCTACTTCAGAATGATTTATTCCCTAATTCTTATAGCCATGCTTTACCTCCTGACTTGCATTTCTTAAAGGTTGCCTAAAATTGTTAATTGGTCTACCCCTTTGTCACCGCACTGTGGCGATTCTCAGAGGTGATATTTGCCCTCCCAGGGTTTGGATCAGAATCACCTGTGGAGCTGTTTTAAATGTTTCGTCAGTCCCTTAGATCTACGGTCCCCAACCCCCTGTCTGTGACCTGGTACCAGTCCGTGGCCTGTTAGGAACTGGGCCACACAGCAGGAAGTGAGTGGAGAGCTGAGCTTTATCTGTATTTACAGCTGCTCCCCATCGCTCGCATCACTACATAAGCTCCACCTCCTGTCAGATCAGTAGCGTCATTACATTATCACAGGAGCATGAACCCCACGGTAAACTGCACATGTGAGGGATCTAGGTTGCACCCTCCTTATGAGAATCTAATACCTGATCTGAGGTGGAGCTGAGGCGGTGATGCTAGCCCTTGGGAGCAGCTGCAAATGCAGATTACCATTAGCAGAGAGGTTTGACTGCACAATAAATGTAATGTGCTTGAATCATCCCAGAACCGCTCCCCCAGCTCTGGTCCGTGGAAAAATTATCTTCCATGAAACCAGTCCCTGGTGCCAAAAAGGCTGGGGACCACTGCCCTAGAAGACATTTAGCAATATCTGGAGACATTTCTTGGTTGCCACAGTGGCAGGGGGCAGGGGTGAGACGCTGCTAACATCTAATGGGTAGAGACCAGAGGACAACCCTCCATAGCTAAGGATTATCTGATTCAAAATGTCAGTATTGCTGAAATTGAGAAACACTACTTTATACCAACTCACCACTTCAGTAGTGAAGGCAGAGCCTTATACCTGAAAATCACAACAATAATGAGATAGAATTCCTCAAGTGTGTTTGGGCTTTAAAAAAAAATTAGAATCACCATCTGCTATATTGTGATAATTTTGAGGAGTTTATGTGTTATCCATCTTTGTAATTCCCCTACCCTACTACACACACTTATACATACAAATTCTATAGACTAACACCAAACTTGAATATTTGTCATATGATTAAATGAATGAATATTCTTATTAACCCTTAACACTGAAACCAACTAATGTTTTCTTGAGAAGAGATTAATTTTCCTGATGATAATTAGAAATGTCCAACAAAATATCTAAAGTTTCTGTCATCGAGGGCTTCCATAACAAAATACCACAGATTGGGTGGTTCAAAGAAGAGAAATGTATTTATTTTCTCATAGTTCTAGAGGCTAGAAGTCCAAGATCAAGGTGCTATTAGTGTTGGTTTCTGGTGAGGTCTCTCTTCCCGGTTTGTAGACAGCCACATTCTCACTATGTCCTCATATGGTCTTTTCCTCTGTATTCATGAGAGAGAGATCTCTGATATCTCTTCCATTTTTTTAATATTTGTATATTATTTGTTCATAATCTCTTTCAGCTCTTGCCCTTTAGACTGAAGACCACAGATCTCTTTACCCTCCTCTCAAATGCCATGTCCCTCTTATTCCCAGCTACTGTTGTCTTGATTATTTTAGTTGTTGAATTATGACTTTTCTGAAGTATCTCTAAGAGCATCACATCAGTGTATGCTGGTGTGTACCAGGATAGGTAATGCTGATGTTGTACCAGGATAGGCCTGTGTCTTCTGTTTAGTCTAATGACTCTCTCTCTGATGACCTGAATTTTATGGACTTGGCTGCCTGGAGTAGCCCTTTGGTAATAACTACATTCCTTCTGTGACTTTAACTGATCACTCAACATGGATTTCTTCTAGAAAGTCATGCACATGCATAGGGCTGTGTGTATGTCCAGGTGTGGAAGACTGAATGTGGTTTCCCAAGGATATTTACGTCCTAATCCCCAGCACCTGTGAATATGTAACTTAACATGGTAAAAGGGACTTTGCAGATATGATTAAATTAAGAATCTTAGGAAGATTATCCTGAATTATTTCAGTGGACCCAGTATAATCACAAAGGTCCTTATAAGAGGGAGGCAGGAAGATCAGAGCCATGTGATGATGGAAGTGAGAGGATGGGCGATGTGGGGAAGGGACCACAAACCAAGGAATGAGGCTGGGGCCTCCAGGTGCTGAAAAAAGGTAAGGAAGTGGATTCTCCCTTAAAGCCTCCAGAAGGAATGCAGCCCTGGTAACACCTTGATTTTATTTATTTTTTTATTAATCTTATTTTTAATTGATAAATCATAATTATATGCATTTATGGGATACAGTGTAATGTTTTGATATATGTATACAAGGTGGAATAGTTAAATCAAGCTAATTAACTTATCCATCACCTCACTTATTTTTTGCGGTGAGACATTTTAAATTCTCTCAGTTATTTTGAGATATACATTATTATTGACTATAATCAACCTGCTCTGCAATAGATCTCAAAACTTATTCTTCCTGCCTGCCTGAAACTTTGTACCCTTTGACCAGCAACCAGGGACCCATTCCCTTCCTTCTCTTCCCTCCACCCTCTGGTAGCCATCATTGTACTCTATAATTAATTCCACACAGAATATAAATGAGATCACATGGTATTTGTATTTCTACGCCTGGCTTATTTCGCTTGGCATAATGTCCTACAAGTTTACACCTTAATTTTAGACTTGACCTCTAGAACTGTAAGAGAATAAATTTGTGTTGTTTAAGCCACTAATTTCATGGTAAACTAATTTGTCTACAGTAATAGGAAATACCAGGAAAGACCTGAGAAGTCCTTTTATGCCCTTGGCTTTGGTTGACTTTGAAGCTCTGTGCAGGCAAAAAGAAAGGCTAAGGTAGAGTTGTAAACTACCTGCCTGAGTGTTGAAGGGGTGCCTTAGCATGCATAGATCCCCTTTCTTAAAGGTGGAAAAGGTTAGGAGACTTACTGGTTTAAGGCATGTAAAGAAACCTCTGACCAATTATTAGCTGACAACTAAGCTAACCCAACTAAGCTAACTAAACAAACAGCAATAATAATAAACAGCAACAAAAAAATTCCGGGGAGGACAGAGAATGTCATTTTCAGAGTTGCCACATTATGTTATTTTAAATGGTCACCTTTTAATAATAAAAAAAATAAGAAAAAGGCAAAAAAAAAAAAGGGGGGTCAAAACGGGAGGAAAAAACAACAAAAAAAAAACCCGAAGAAAAACAAAAAATGGAAAAAACAAAAAAAGAACTAAAGAAAACCATTTCTAAGAAACTAAGAGCAAATATGAGAATGAAACCTCACCAAATAGAAAATATTGATAAAGAGACAAAAAATATAAAAAATCATATAGAAATCCTGGAGTTAAAATATAAGAACTCACATAAAAACTTTATTAGCAGGGGCTCGATATCAGATTTGAGCTGGTGGAAGAAAAAGTTAGCAAACTTAAAGATAGGTCAATTCAGACCATCCAGAGTAAAGAACAACAACAACAACAACAAAAATGAACTTCCTTAACCTGACAAAGGCATCTGTGAAACAACTTCATCTAACATAATACTTAATGATGAAAGATAGAAAGCTTTCCCCATAAGATCAGGAATAAGATAAGATTATCCACTCTTGCCAGTTTATTTACTGGAAGTTCTAGCCAGGGCAATTAGGCAAGAAAAGCAAATAAAAAGCATCCATATTGGAAAGAGAGAAGTAAAATGGATATCCACAATTGGATCTCCACATGTAGAAGTTGAACTCCTACCTCACACCATATATAAAAATTAACTCAATGTGGATCAGAAACCTAAATATAAGATATTACTCTTGTAATAAAAATTAGGCTTGAGTCTTCATAACCTTTGACAGGGTTGGTTTCTTCTATATGGCATCTAAAGCACAAGCAACCAGAGATCAAATACATAAATTGGATTCCATCAAAATTAAAAACTTCTGTGTTTCAAAGAACTTTATCAGGAAAGTGAAAAGACAAGTCAGAGAGTGGATGAAAATATTTGCAAATTATATAAATGCATTTTTTTTTTTTTTTGAGACAGTGTCTTGCTCTGTTACTGAGGCTGGAGTGGTACAATAATATCTCATTGTAGTGTTGAACTCTTGGGCTCAGGTGATCCTCCTGCTTTCCAAGTAGTAGCTGGGACTACAGGCACATGCCACCATGCCTAGCTGTTTTTTGGTGGTGTTTTTTTGTTTGTTTGTTTGTTTGTTTGTTTGTTTTGTCTCTCTCTGTTGTCTAGCCTGGTGTCGAACTCCTGGCCACAGTAAGTGATCCTCTCTCCTCAGCCTCCAAAGAGTTGGGATTACAGGTATGAGCTACTGTGCCTGACCTGCAAATCATATATTGATAAAGATCTGACATCTAAAATATACATTAAAAAACAAAATTATACCAAATTTATAGAACTAATTGGCTTTTATATGTGTTTAATGAATTAGGTCAGCATCCCATTCTATAAAATAGAATAAGAGCTCTCACAGGGCATGGCAGAACAGTGGGTTTTGTAAGATTGGAACAAAGAAACAGAACAATAGAAAAAAGTAGATTGGTTATGCTGTCTGTGATTGGGGCCTTTCTGATTAGTTGCTGTCAATCTCCTATTTTCATTATAAACTGACCTGTTTGGGGATCTCCCTCTTAATGTTTCAGTTTGATTATGTATTACTTAACATGAGTGACTATTTCAATTGGCATGTCTGTTGAGGCCTAGTTCAGGAGCTCAGTCTCAAATAATGGCCTCCCATAAAAACTGTTTAACATATATGAATAACTTCAACAATTTAACAATAAAAAGGCAATCCAATTTTAAAAATTAAAAAGGAGTTAAGTAGACATTCCTCGAAAGAAGTGGCCAATAAACACATGAAAAGATGCTCAACTTCACTAGTCATTATGGACTATCCAAACCACTGTGAGGTACCACTTCACACCTATTAAGATAGCTATAATAAAAAAACAGATAATAACAAGTATTGATGAGGGTTTGGAGAAATTGGACCCTCTGTACCTTACTGGTGTGAATGCAAAATAGTACAGCCACTGTGGAAAACAGTTTGGTAGTTCTTCAAAAGAACTTTAAAAGGTTAAGTGCTTAAAAGGCATTATCAAGAAAGTGAAAAGACACTTCAGAGAATAGGGGAAAATATTTGCCAATCATAGATCTGATAAGGCAGCGGTCCCAAACCTTTTTCGTACCAGGGACTGATTCATGGAAGACAGTTTTTCCACTGAAGTGGGTGGGTGTGGAGCTCTGGCAGTGATGTGAGTGATGGGGAGCGGCTGTAAATACAGATGAAGCTTCACTCTCGCCCCGCCACTCACCTCCTGCTGTGCACACCCCCCTTCCTAAGTTTCGTGGAAGACAATATTTCCAAAGGGGTAGCAGGGGTTGCAGTAGAGCTGTGTCCCAGTCCCTAACAAGCCACAGACTAGTACTGGTCCACAGCCCAGGGGTTGAGGACTGACTGCAGTGATAAGGAACTTATATCCAGAATACATAAAGAATGCCTCTAACTCAAAAATAAAAGGGCAACTCAGTTTTTAAAATGGTGAAGTAAAAAGTAGAGTTACCTTATGATCTAGGAATTCCACTGCTAGATATATACCTAAGAGAATTGAAAATACATGCACGCTAAAACTTGTACATAAATGTTTATACTATAATATTATACCATTATGCATATTGGCCAAATAGTGGAAATACCTCAGTTGCTCTTCACCTAATGACTACGATGAGTGGATAAACAAAATGCAGTAGATCCATATAATGGAGTAATATTCAGCCATAAAAAGGACTGAAGTATAGATTCATGGTACAGCATAGATGAATCTTGAAAGCATTATGCTAAGTGAAAGAAGCTAGACAGAAAAGGACATATATTGTGTGAGCCTATTTTTATGAATTCTCCAGAATAGGCAAATCCATAGAGTCAGAAAAAGGTTAATGGTTGCCAGGAGCTGGGAGGAGGGGAGATGGAGAGTGACAACTACTAATGAGTACAAAGTTTCTTTTTGGTGGTGTGAAAATATTCTGGGATAGTGGTGATAGTTGTACAACTTTGTGAATATACTAAAAACTACTGAATTGCTTATTTTAAACAGATACATTTTGTGTTATGTGAATGATATCTCAACTTAAAGCATAATCTTACTTTTAATTCCCATCATCCTTGTAGTCCTGGACATGATCAATTTTTGCCTGTATTGCTGTACCAGCTACTTCACTGATCCTCCTGCTTCCAGTATTACCGTACCTCACACCCACCCCTCCCACCAAAAAACAGCCAGAAAATTTTTCTTTTTTCTTTTTTTTTTTGAGACAGAGTCTCACTTTGTTGCCCAGGCTAGAGTGAGTGCCATGGCGTCAGCCTAGCTCACAGCAACCTCAAACTCCTGGGCTCAAGCAATCCTTCTGCCTCAGCCTCCTGAGTAGCTGGGACTACAGGCATGTGCCACCATGCCCGGCTAATTTTTTTTTCTATATATATATTAGTTGGCCAATTAATTTATTTCTATTTATAGTAGAAATGGGGTCTCGCTCTTGCTCGGGCTGGTTTCGAACTCCTAACCTCGAGCAATCTGCCCGCCTAGGCCTCCCAGAGTGCTGGGATTACAGGCGTGAGCCATTGTGCTGGGCCTCCATTGTTTCTTAAAGTCATTCCTCCAAGTAAACCTTCTGTGGCCATTCTAACTGAAAAAGTAAACCTTTCACCCACTTTCTCCATCTCAGGAGCATTGTTTATTTCCTTAATAGCACTTCCTGCAGTTGATAGAGTTTTTGCTTGTTGTATTGCTTGTCTACTCTTTAAATCTGTTTTCCTCTCTAGACTTTAAGGCAGGGGACCAATCAGTGTGGTTCATCATTGGTTCCCCGGTCGCTAATGTAGCCCCTGTAACATCGGAGTGTTCATCATATATTTGTTAGATGACCAACCAAATGTATTAGATTATTTTGTAGATAATCCCTGGACATTTAACATTTCTTACTTAGTTTAACATTTTAAGATAGATTGTCCTTCTTTCAAAAATGTGCTTTTAAAAATTAAATAAGATTGGCCCCCAAATTATCTTCCAAGAAACTCCACTATTGACATTTTATCTCTCTAAAAAAATTCCAGATTCACCTCTTTATTTATCATTATTGATGATAAATTCTTTTTTTGCTCTTTATGCAGAATGATGGCTGTTTTAGTACTTCAGGTGGAATTCGTTCTTTTCAGCTTCAAAATTGGAAGCAGAAAGTCAGTCGAACTAAGAAAGCAGAATTCATACGCACAGCAGAAAAGCTGAAAAATCAGTAAGTATAAGAGTATTATTTTCAAAGAACATTACTAGTCGTTATGTAATAGACAATATAAAATTAATTCCATTACACCCTACCATATTAAGTTACAAAATTCTAGTCATTGGCCTGTCAAATATAACAAGAGAAAGGTGGGAGGTGTGAAATGGACAAATGATAATAAGCTATTTAATATAAAGTTAATTATAAGTAGAGTAATTTCAATTTTATTTATTTTTACCATTTTGAATCTGTGTATTTCAAGGGAAACAAACCAGCTATTTCTTTAGATTTTTTTGTATATCAAATAACAGATTGAGTACATTTTCATTTTATAACTGTATAGTTAGGCACTTGGTATATGTTTTTCAGTAAGTGAATAATTTTTTGGTTTTTTATTATATATTTATCAAAGTGCTTTACAAATGATTAGCATCACATATTTAAATTGTTATTTTTCCTATCTTACAAATGAGGATATTGAGAGTCACAGAGGATAAATATTTTTCTATAGGTTATATGGTTAGTATATGGTTGATTTAGGGACTCTTTTAGGCTGGCTCCAACCACTGTGAATGCCATTGTTCTTAATAACTGGTGCTGTTCTTCATTAAGCCTGTTTGAGTACATAGATATGATCTCACTGAAGAAAGCAGCAAATAGTTTTAATGAAAAGGCTGTACCCTTGAGATATTTTTTTTTTAAATGGCTGCTTGGTTTTTGCCCCTATGAGATGCATTTTGCACATTATGTTGAGGCTAATTGAGAACTTTCCATTTATTTTAAATTTTTAATGTATATGAATTTTTCTTTAAACAACCAGTGATATTTATTGAATGTTCAATGTTGTCAGCAGCCCTATGACATGATAACTGAGGAATGATAAAAAGAATTAAAACTGAAAGCACCCCACTCTACCCCACAGTTAAAAGCTTTATAAAAACACTGCTTTGAACTCATGTAGAATTAATTTGTCAGAGAACTCAAGAGAAAAGGAGCCTATTGTAAGGAATGGTCTTTGGATCAGAATTAGTGGCAGTTCTCTGTTTAGAAATTCTGCCAATAAAAAAAGCATACTGTTTGAATTTTAGAAAGTCATGTCACATTGTAGCTTTTGGAGATTGAATTCTCACTGCAGATAGATAATATTTATATCTTTTTCCCCAGCTTTATTGACGTATGATTGACAAATAAAAATTATGTATATTTAAAGTATACAGCCGGGCGCTTGTGTCACGCTGTAATCCTAGCTCTGGGAGGCCGAGGCGGGCGGATTGCTCAAGGTCAGGAGTTCAAAAGCAGCTGAGCAAGAGTAGACCGTCTCTACTATAAATAGAAAAATTGGCACTGATATTATATATAAAATTAGCCGGGCATGGTGGCGCTGCTGTGATCCCAGCTACCCGGAGGCTGAGGCAGAAGGATCACTCGGCCAGGAGTTTGAGGTTGCTGTGAGCTAGGCTGACGCCACGGCACTCACTCTAGCCTGGGCAACAAAGTGAGACTCTGTCTCAAAAAAAAAAAAAAATAAAGTATACAATGTGACGTTTGGATCTATATATACATTGTGAAATGATTACCACAATCAAGCTAATTAACATATCCATCACCTCACATGGTTACCCTGTGTGTGTGTGGTGTGTTGTGTGTGTGTTGTGTGTGGTGTGTGTGGTGAGCATACTTAAGATAAACTCTCTTAGCAAAGTATTTTCATTATGCTAAATGAAATAAGCCAGACAAAGAAAAATAGATACAGTATGATCTCGCTTATATGAGCAATTAAAAAGAAGTCTAGGCTGGCGCGGCTGGCCTGTAATCCTAGCACTCTGGGAGGCCGAGGCGGGAGGATCGCTCAAGGTCAGGAGTTCAAAACCAGCCTGAGCAAGAGTGAGACCCCATCTCTACTAAAAATAGAAAGAAATTAATGGCCAACTAATAAATAGAGAAAATTACCGGGCATGGTAGCACATGCCTGTAGTCCCAGCTGCTCGGGAGGCTGAGGCAGGAGGATCGCTTGAGTTTGAGGTTGCTGTGAGCTAGGCTGACGCCACGACACTCACTCTAGCCTGGGCAACAAAGCGAAACTCTGTCTAAAAAAAAAAAAAGTACAAGTTAATGAATTATAGGATGGGTACTTTCTCAAGACCTAATGTACAGCATGGTGACTATAGTTAATAATAATGTATTATTACTTAAATTGTAATAGTTACATATTAATATTTAGAATTTGGAAAATATAATTTTGTTTTAATTTCCACATGCATTACTCTAATAGAATTAGACTCTAGGTTAGGGGTTCTGGTTTATGTTTCTTTCTAGATAGGGTCATGTCCACCAAATGGTTGCTGTCCATAGATACAGGAACCCAATGTGTTTGTTTACAGTTCTGATTAGGCTTTCTTTTCTGTTAGTACTGGAAAAACTTGCTGAAAGAATATTTTAAAACTATTAGGGGTGTGTGTGGTGGCTCATGCCTGTAATCCTAGCACTTTGGGAGGCCAAGGTGGGAGGATCATTTGAGCTAGTAGTTCAAGACCAGCCTGGGCAAAATAGCAAGACACGTCTCCACAAAAAATTTAAATTAGCCAGGAAAGGTAGCATGTGCCTGTAGTCCTTACTTGGAATTTTGAGCTAGGAGAACCACTTGAGCCCAGGAGTTTGAGGCTTCAGTTACTGTGATCATACCACTGCACTCTAGCCTGGGTGAGAGAGTGAGAGAGACTCTGTCTCAAAACAAAAAACAAACAAAACAAACATTGGAAGAGTGTTTCTATCCAGCAATTCTCATTAAAGACAAGGAAAAACACAATCGTATCTCATTTTAGGATAGGTAATATATTCACATAGTTCAAAAAAAATCAAACATGTCAACTAGTACCCAGTAGAAGGTCTGTTCACTCCTGACTCAGCCACTCTTAGTTTTTATGTGTCCTTCCACAGATATTTTGTTGTGTTTATAAGAATAGAAATACATACTCATATTTTCTTTTTGCATAAGTGATAGCACACTGTACACACTGCTTTGCATCTTTTTATAATTAAGAGTATGCCTTAGATACCAAGGAATTGTTGATTTTGTCAGCATGATTAATGGCATTGTAGTTGTGTAAGTCAAATATCTATAATCTCTAGAGATGCACACAAAAGTATGTTGGGGTGAAATTGCATACTGTGGTAGATTTACTTAAAATACTAAAGCAAAGAAAGGATAAATGAATAAAAACAAATAAATCGAATCAGGGTGATATGAGGGCATATCATATGAGGAGTATATGAAGAGGGATCAATTTCTCATTGTCTACTTTTGGATATGTATAACATTTTTATACAAAACTTTTGTTATCAAAAGAGAGTTATTTCAGAGATCTTTCCCTCAGTACGTAGACACAGTACCATTGCATTGTATTCTAGTGTATGAATTTAACATGATTTATTTACCTGCCCAAACTGATGGATATTTAGGTTACATTACATCATTGTTATAACAAACATTGCTGCAATTAATTGCAGTATTCACATAGGTATACATTATTTTGCACATGTATGAGTATATCTTTAGGATAAATTCCTAGAAAAAATGCTCTGTCAAAGGTATATGAATTTCCAAACGTGATAATATTGCTAAATTTCCTCCATAGGCAATTTACCAACAATTCTACCAACAATGTATGAGATGACCTGTTTCCTCATAGTTTTAGCAACAGAATATTTATTTAAACTTGTGATTTTTTTTTTGCAATCTGATAGGTGTACAGTGTTACTGTGGTTTAGTTTTAATTTGCATTTCTTTTGTTATGAGTGAAGTTGAGCATCTTTTCATATGTTGGCAATTTGTTTCCTTTAGTACATTTTGAATGTCTTTATAGGTTAATATTCTAATCTGGGATTAGTGACTCATAGCTTACTGTCATAGCTATTCTGCATCCATGCAAACATTCTATTTGATCATTGTAATTTCCCAATCCAACAGAGCCTAAATAGGCTTCCCATTCTCAGCACAGGACTCCAGAAATCACCCTCAATCCTTTAGAGTTGCCAAGAAGGTTGACATCTATTTGACATCTCTATTCTACCTCTCACTTCCTCTCCCAAACAACACAGCTTCAAAACACACATACTGAGATTATGAGCCTTTGAGGCAGCCTGGTAGGCCTGAGGCAGCTATCTGTTTACCCCAGTTTACCTTATAAATACTAAATTTTCTCTATATGTGGCAAAGTGAAAAGATTGGGAATCTCTGCTTTAGATAGTGCCCCTCTGGTTGTTATGAAATTAAGTTAATGGCCAGAAACCTCCAGTACTCATAATCCAGTATTAACAGAGAAATATTCATATTAATTTCTACCTTGGGGAAAGTAAACAAGGGTTGAGAAAATAATTTCTTTGCCCAACCAAAAAGTTCCTTGATAGTATTTTTTTTTCTTTGTTTTAGCCAAGGACTTAAACTAAAAATAGAACTGCTTACTGGTAGAACTTACTTACTGGTAGACTTTGCCCTAAATCCAAGGAGCAAAGTTGGATAAAGAAGCTTTGAAATAAATGTAGACAGTATCTCTTAAATATGCTAATTTCCTGTCTTTATGCTAGTTTGCAGAAGCAAAGTTTTAGTTTTATTAATATAGTAATTTGCATTTCATACACACTTGTATTGTGCAAAGATTCATCACATATATTATCTCATTTTGATGTTAATAATGCCTTAGCTAGTGGAGAGGCTGTTATTTTTCATATTTTAGTGATGAGAGGTTCATACAGGAGAGTTAAACATCTTGGCTAAGGTTACAAAGTGAACAGTATCTACCGTCGAAAGCCAGTCATCAGTAATGATGGCTTTCAGGCTCCAGTGAGGTTGGTTGGAATTTGATGGCGAAAGACTTATATTTCAAAGCAAGTACATAGCCACATTTTCTTAAATTAATTTATAATGGTATAATTCAATTATAGTTGATTTTAGTGAGCTTAACTCTTTCTAACTGCTATTTTGACTAATATTTTGACTCTGTCCTTCTTAATCTAAGTAATTATATTCTATTCTTAGTAAATTTAATCCAAATATAATATACTTATGAATGTCTTTCATATTTTAAACAATTAAAATAACTTAATTATTTATACCATTTGTTTCTTTTCCTAAAGAGTATTAACATGAAAAAGATAGCAACAGTCATTTCTACAACCAAAAGGTGACTTCAGAATTGGCATAGTGTGCTGAAGAATTGGAAAATAAATTGATTAACAGCAGAAAAAGAAAGTAAGTTGAGTTCATGGTGAACTAAATACTGTTGAGTGATGTAAGTTGTAGTTTTGTCTGTGCTTTGTCTTTGTGCATTGACTGTGTTATTAATATATTCTCTATTAAGATATTTAGTTGGTGATAAATTTGCCTTTTAGGGACATGTATTTATTCTTCACATCACTATTTAGTCTTCCTAACAGATTGTTTTCTTATTTTATTCTTCCAGTTAATAAGAAAGATTTTGGGTTTTGGTTGACAACCAGTAATGCTATTAATTTCTTAAAGCATATTGATTTTTTGGGCTATCTGATCTAGCTCATCAGTCTGGCATTGTTGACTGAGCCCTGGACTCAGTCAGCATCAGTAGATTGAGACCTATACGTTAGTAGTTATTTGAAGTGATCAAGCACTAATTACTTAAACCTGAGTTCCCTTGTCTGCACTTCCTAAACTACCATTTTCTATCCAGGAGAGCTGTCCTATGCATCTGATGAGATAATATATAAGAAATGTTATAGATTGTACAGCGAATATGGTCAGTTTTTGTTATGGAATACTAATTATTCTCAACAGTGTGCTGATTTAACCTTAGTGAATTCTATGAGAATCTTTGTTTCATTGTAGAGTCAGATTCTCCATGTTGTAAATCTTATTTATATGAAAAGTACCTTAGCATTCTTAGAGAAAATAACGGGTTATCAACTAAGATTATAAATATTAAGACTTCTTATGTAGATTAGACTGCTTATGGTACTCCCTTACCACTAATTAAAGAAATTCCTGATAATTTTTTTCTTTCAGAATATAAGGATTACACACTTTTTTAAAAAGTCATCTTTTTGTCAGGCAGTGGCAAATAATTTTCTCTTTTCTGTTGGAATAATAGCAGATCCTTATATAAATACTAGATTCAAGTTCTCTCTTCTCTTTGATTAGTAAATCTAGACATCCTGATTTAATATTTCTTAATTCCTCAGTTCTTTTGCAGATAGCTGGAGGCTGATCTTCTCTCAGTCATGCATTAAGTAAGTATCCATTTAGGCACTTGATTTTCCCTTTTATTAAGGACTTTATTTTTACTTTTTATTCTCTTGTTCTGCAGTTTTACCTTTCTTTAATAACTTTATGCTTTCTCTAGGAGAGGAAAGAGTACATTGTCTTAGCATAAAGATATATGCTTTATATGTTACAGCTCAGAAGTAATAACGTATTCATTACCCAAATACCATGCCTCAATTTAGCCTGTGCATTTATGTCATATTGTACTAAATGGTTTGTCTATAAAGTGTTCTCAATGAATAATAAAATCAAAAGATTATTTGTTCTGTAGTGATTTGCTGTAGCTGATCAACTAAGGCAAAATAAAAAACAAAAAACTTTGCTAGTTTCTTGCTTTACTAAAGAGTTCTTTACCTAAAGTTTCAACAGCAAGCAAGATGCTATAAATAAATTGAATAGTTTCTACTTTTATGGAACTCTTGAATTTTAATTAAAAAAAAAACACAGAACAAGCCAAAGTCACATATACATATTTAGAAGTTTATTTGGTTAGCACTGGCTGCAAGCCTGTAGGTAAACTTTTTTAAAAAAAATAATTACTTTAAGGACTTTTGGACAGAGCCTTTGGTGCTTAATGTTCATTTGTGGAAGAGTTTCAAAAATAAAAAAGAGAAGGGTTCATAAAGTACTCAAAGATTATAAAATAATAATACCATTATATGAATATATATGTATGAATATATCAGCCTGAGAAGTTAAAAATATTAAGTAAGATTATTACTTCAGAAAACAGTTACGAAAGAAGAATCCAGTCTTTCTGCTGCTGATAAACACCATCTAAAAATGCCTTTGAGACTCTCCTCTGTTTTTCAGGCTTTTATTGTGGGACTAACATTTGACTCTAGGCTCTTCCTTTGGTTGAGCTTAGCACCTTGTGGCATATCACTGAATGCTACCTGATGGTGGTACCAGAGAGTATCACTTGACCCTGTCTTAGAGGATGTGGTTAGATGAAGTTAATGGGAAGTTTTTCAGTATTTATAGAATTAAATAGTTAGTTTTTTATATTCCCACAATAGAGTTAAGATCAAATTCTATTTCCATAAGTTATAACAAAATAAAAAGAAAAGAAACACTGATAAAGAACAAAACAGACTAGGCTTAAACTGCTAATCCATGGATTTAAAACAATGTCCAATAACTCAGTCTCCACAGAGGAAAAAAAGAAGACATCTCCTTGGCACAGGTTATAGTAAGATTTAACCCACTGTGCTTTTAAATATTATAGGAAATTGAGAGATGCTTATCTAGAGCAAGGGTACTTAAAGTATTCTTTTGACATAAATATACGTATTTTGTTCTTGGTTATCTTTTGCTAAGTGTTTGGGACTAATCCTATGTGTAGAATTCTGAATCGTAACCACATTTGTCACAGAATTATTTTGAAAGTACATATTTTTTCCTTATAGGAGCAAAAATCCAGCAACAATTGGCCAAAATACATAACAATGTAAAGAAACTTCAGCATCAGTTAAAAGATGTGAGGCCTACACCTGACTGTAAGTAAATTTAAATTGTACAATGTTTCTTATATAATAATATTTTCTACTTGGCATTAATAGAACTAAACCCTACTGTATTGGATAGGGCTTAATAAGGATACATTGGAGAACTGTAATGTCTATAGCATTTATATTGTTTTTATGTTTTTAACGTTAAAGTGCTATCAAATTCTTATAAATTATAAGGCAGGCATAACAGATACTAGTGTCATTTATAAAATGGGGAATCTGTGTACAGAAAGGTCCAGATTTAGCTAATTAAGGAGAAAAAAGACCAATTTCCTGATTCCTAGTCCTGTGTTTTTCCTATCATTTGCTTTTTGAAATAAGTACCTTTCAGTAGCAATTCTAATACATAGAGAAAGCTTAAACTGATTTGGAGAAAATGCTGTTTTTTGGGGGGAAAAAACCCCAAATTATATCCCTACCTAATTATATCCCTCCCTAATACTACTTAATAATTAATAATTAATACTTAATGATATGGGTACATAGGAAAAAAATCTGTAATCAGAAAAAAATTGAAGTCATAATAATTCACTTTTGAGTATATTTATTTGTTAAGACTAAGCAATGTTTTAAAATGAGAGAAATGGTCCACTTCTTTTGTTAATATTTAATTCTTAGTTATACTGAAATATGACATAAAATAATTTTTCCATGAATTTTTTTTTTACAGTTGTTGAGAAACTCAGAGAAATGATGGAAGAAATTGAAAATGCAATTAACACTTTTAAAGAAGAGCAGAGGTTGATGTATGTTTTAAACTCATTTTAAATAAAATTGACTTTTATTTTTTAATAACTCTTTGCTAAGTTGTATACAAAGCATTTTATTGTTATGTATTTAATGAGTCTTGCACAAAAAACAATATAATACTTCTCTTGTTTTAGGATTTAGATGGCTTTTCATGTTTAAAGTGAATTTTCATTCATATTTAGATATACTATAAAATCCCAAATAAGAATTTGAAAAATTGTTTTTTTTGTTTGTTTGTTTGTTTTTTTAGCTAGTTTGGCAGAAGCAAAGTTTTTAGTTTTATTAAATATAGTAATTTGCATTCCATACACACTTGTATTGTGCAAAGATTCATCACATAATATTATCTCATTTTGATGTTAATAACTGCCTTAGCTAGTGGAAGAGGCTGTTATTTTTCATATTTTAGTGATGAAGGTTCATACAGGAGAGTAAACATCTTGGCTAAGGTTACAAAGTGAACAGTATCTACCGTCGAAAGCACGTCATCAGTAATGATGCATTTTCAGGCTCCAGTGAGGTTGAGTGGAATTGATGGCGAGACTATATATATTCAAAGCAAGTTACATAGCCACATTTTCTTAAATTACATTTTATAATGGATATAATTCAAATTATAGTTGATTTTAGTTGAGCTTAACTCTTTTCTAACTGCTATTTGACTAATATTTTGACTCTAGCCTTCTTAATCTAAGTAATTATATTCTATTTCTTAGGTAAATTAATCCAATATAAATATACTTATGAATGTCTTTCATATTTTAAACAATTAAAAATAACTTAAATTATATTATACCATTTGTTTCTTTTCCTAAAGAGTTATTTAACATAGAAAAAGATAAGCAACAGGTCATTTCTACAACAAAAGGTGACTTCAGAATTGGCATAGTGTGCTGGAAGAATTGGAAAATAAATTGATTAACAGCAGAACAAGAAAGTAGTTGAGTTCATGGTGGAACTAAATACTGTTGAGTGATGTAAGTTGTAGTTTGTCCTGTGCTTTGTCTTTGTGCATTGACTGTGTTATTAATATATTCTCTATTAAGATATTTAGTGGTGATAAATTTGCCTTTTAGGGACATGTATTTATTCTTCACATCACTATTTAGTCTCCTAACCAGATTGTTTTCTTTTCTTATTCTTCCAGTTAATAAGAAAGATTTTGTGGGTTTTGTTGACAACCAGTAAATGCTATTAAATTTCTTAAAAGCATATTGATTTTGGGCTATCTGATCGTAGCTCATCAGTCTGGCATTGTTGACTGAGCCCTGACTCAGTCAGCATCAGTAGATTGAGAACCTATACTTAGTAGTTATTTGAAGTGATCAAGTCACATAATTACTTAAACTGAGTTCCCGTTGTCTGCACTCTAAACCTACCATTTCTATCTCAGGAGAGCTGTCCTATGCATCTGATGAGATAATATATAAGAAATGATTATAGATTGTACAGCGAATATGGTCAGTTTGTTGTTATGGAATACTAATTATTCTCAACAGTGTGCTGAATTTAACCTTAGTGAATTCTATGAGAATACTTTGTTTCATTGTAGAGTCAGATTCTTCCATGTTTGTAAAATCTTTATTTATATGAAAAGTACCTTAGCATTCTTTAGAGAAGAAATAACGGGTTATCATAAGATTTATAAATATTAAGACTTCTTATGTAATTAGACTGCTTATGGTACTCCCTTACCACTAATTAAAGAATCCTGATATTTTTTTTCTTTCAGAATATAAGATTACACACTTTTTTAAAAAGTCATCTTTTTGTCAGCAGTGGCAAGAATAATTTTCTCTTTTCTGTTGGAATAATAGCAGATCTTATATAAATACTAGATTCACATTCTCTCTTCTCTTTGAGTAGTAGAGAAATCTAGACATCCCTGATTTAATATTTCTTAATTTCCCTCAGTTCTTTGCAGATAGCTGGGAGGCTGATCTTCTCTCAGTCTGCATTAAGTAAGAGTATCCCATTATGGCACTTGATTTCCCTTTTATTAAGGAACTTTATTTCTTTTTATTTCTCTTGTTCTGCAGTTTTACCTTTCTTTAATAACTTTATGCTTTCTCTAGGAGAGGAAAGAGTACATTGTCTTAGCATAAAGATATATGCTTTATATGTTACAGCTCAGAAGTAATAACGTATTCATTTACGCCAAATACCATGCCTCAATGTTAGCCTGCTGATTTATGTCATATTGTACTAAATGGTTTGTCTATAAAGGTGTTCTCAATGACATAATAATAATCAAAGATTATTTGTGTCTGGTAGTGATATTGCTGTAGCTGATCAACATAAGCAAATAAATAAACAAAAAACTTTGTAGTTTCTTTAGCTTTACAAGAAGTTTCTTTACCTAAAGTTTTTCAACAGCAAGCAAGATGCTGATAAAAAATGTGAATCATTTCCTACTTTTTAAGGGGTGGAACTCTTGAATTTAATTAAAAAAAAACCAGAACAAGCCAAACGTCACCATATATAATATTCTAGAAGTTTATTTGGTCTAGTCACTGGCTGCAAGCCTGTAGGTAAACTTTTTAAAAAAAAAATATACTTTAAGGACTTTGGACAGAGCTTGGTGATAATGTATTATATACTTAAAATTGGTAATAGTTACATATTTAATATTTAGAATTTGAGAAAATATAATTTTGTTTTAATTTCCACAATGCATTACTCTAAATAGAATTAGACTCTAGGTTAGGGGTTCTGGTTTATGTTTCTTTCTAGATAGGGTCATGTCCACCAAATGGTTGCTGTCCATAGATACAGGAAACCCAATGTGTTTGTTTTACAGTTCTGATTAGGCTTTCTTTGTCTGTTAGGTACTGGAAAAACTTGCTGAAAGAATATTTTAAAACCTATTAGGGCTGTGTGTGGTGGCTCATGCCTGTAATCCTAGCACTTTGGGAGGCCAAGGTGGGAGGATCATTTGAAACTAGTAGTTCAAGACCAGCCTGGGCAAAATAGCAAGACACGTCTCCACAAAAAATTTTAAAATTAGCCAGGAAAGGTAGCATGTGCCTGTAGTCCTACCTACTTGGAATTTTGAGCTAGGAGAACCACTTGAGCCCAGGAGTTTGAGGCTTCAGTTAGCTGTGATCATACCACTGCACTCTAGCCTGGGTGAGAGAGTGAGAGAGACTCTGTCTCAAAACAAAAAACAAAACAAAACAAACCATTGGAAGAGTGTTTCTATCCAGCAATTCTCATTAAAGACAAAGGAAAAAACACAATTCGTAATCTCATTTTTAGGATAGGTAATATATTCACATAGTTCAAAAAAAATCAAAACATGTCAACTAGTACCCAGTAGAAGGTCTGTTTCACTCCTGACCTCAGCCACTCTTAGTTTCTTATGTGTCCTTCCACAGATATTGTGTGTGTTTATAAGGAAATAGAAATACATACTCATATTTTCCTTTTTGCATAAGTGATAGCACACTGTACACACTGCTTTGCATCTTTTTATAAATTTAAGAGTATGCCTTAGATACCAAGGAATTGTTGATTTTGTCAGCATGATTAATGGCATTGTAGTTGTGTAAATCAAATATCTATAATCTCTAGAGATGCACACAAAAGTATGTTGGGGTGAAATTGCATACTGTGGTAGATTTACTTTAAAATACTAAAGCAAAGAAAGGATAAATGAATAAATAAAACAAATAAAATCGAATCAGGGTGATATGAGGGGCATATCATATGAGAGTATATGAGAGGGATCAATTTCTCATTGTCTACTTTTGGATATGTATAACATTTTTATACAAAACTTTTGTTATCAAAAGAGAGTTATTTCAGAGATCTTTCCCTATCAGTACGTAGAACACAGTACCATTGCATTGTATTCTAGTGTATGAATTTAACATGATTTATTTAACCTGCCCCAAACTGATGGATATTTAGGTTACATTCAATCATTTGTTATAACAAACATTGCTGCAATTAATTGCAGTATTCACATAGGTATACATTATTTTGCACATGTATGAGTATATCTTTAGGATAAATTCCTAGAAGAAAATGCTCTGTCAAAGGTATATGAATTTCCAAACATGATAAATATTGCTAAATTTTCCTCCATAGGCAATTCTACCAACAATTCTACCAACAATGTATGAGATGATCTGTTTCCTCATAGTTTTAGCAACAGAATATATTATTTAAACTTGTGATTTTTTTTTTGCCAATCTGATAGGTGTACAGTGTTACTGTGGTTTAGTTTTAATTTGCATTTCTTTTGTTATGAGTGAAGTTGAGCATCTTTTCATATGTTTGGCAATTTGTTTCCTTTAGTACATTTTGAATGTCTTTATAGGTTAATATTTCTAATCTGGGATTAGTGACTCATAGCTTACTGTCATAGCTTATTCTGCATCCATGGCAAACATTTCTATTTGATCATTGTAATTTCCCCAATCCCAACCAGAGCCTAAATAGGCTTCCCATTTCTCAGCACAGGACTCCAGAAATCACCCTCAATCCTTTAGAGTTGCCAAGAAGGTTGACATCTATTTGACATCTCTATTCTACCCCTCACTTCCTCTCACAAACAACACAGCTTCCAAAACACACATACTGAGATTATGAGCCTTTGAGGCAGCCTGGTAGGGCCTGAGGCAGCTATCTGTTTACCCCAGTTTACCTTATAAATACTAAATTTTTCTCTATATGTGGCAAAGTGAAAAAGATTGGGAAACTCTCCTTTAGATAGTTGCCCCTCTGGTTGTATGAAATTAAGTTAATGGCCAGAAACACTCCACTACTCATTAAATCCAGTATTAACAGAGAAATATTCATATTAATTTCTACCTTCTGGGGGAAAGTAAACAAGGGTTGAGAAAATTAATTTCTTTGCCCAACCAAAAAAAGTTCCTTGATAGTATTTTGTTTTCTTTTGTTTTAGCCAAGGACTTAAACTAAAAATTAGAACTGCTTACTGGTAGAACTTACTTACTGGTAGAACTTTGCTCCTAAATCCAAGGAGCAA